GGAAGAGGACGAATTTTGCATTCATTTTGGAGCTGTAAGAATTTTTACTTGGATGGTAATGTTTGAGAGAGTCTAGATGGGCCTGGGCAGTAGCCTGTGGCCTTCTGAAAACCACCTCAGATGCTCCAATCTTGCTGTGGGGGCTGTGGCTGATTTTGAAGTAGGGCGGGTGTGAGATTAGAATGAAAAGTCCAGTCTATCTGCATGTATTGCCGCCTCAGAACATCTAAAGTATATTCTAGTTTATGTGACTGAGAGAGTATTGGTCACTCTCTGGTTAAATATTCGACTTTTCCTAGTTTTAAAAGGAAATAGGAAAAGGAAAAGGGCAGTTCGTGGAAAGTCCCCTGGAGTGTATGGGAGAGCACAGGTGGAAAGCACAGCATTGTTGGGATCAAATTTGTTCCGCAGCTGGGTCCCACTTACGTCCTGACCCGGGAATTGGGCAGTACCGTTGAGATCCTACAGCCAATCTGGAGATTTAAAAAAGAGCCCACTCTATACACAACTCTGCTTGCCTTGATTTCAGAGAAGCCCCTGAGGCTGAGGCCAGACTACCCTAGCTGGCCAGACTGGTTTATAGCTGGAGGACACAGCCCAAGGGGACTCCAGTTTACTCCACCAGCTGTCTTCCTCCTCCTCACACCCACACCTCAGGCCCTATGGCCTTATCCTTCTAGGGGGTGACTGCTTTCCAGAAGTGTGCAGAGTTGGAGGTGGGAAGAGGTCAGGCTACAGGCCTTGGATGCTGTTGCCTGGTCTGAGTTCTGTACATGCTTAGTTGGCCTGGGCCTCTGTCCTTCCGGTAGGGGCCAAAGGCTGTATTTCTTCCCTATCTTGAATCTGAACATTCCTTTCATGCTTTCTCTGTTAGAAAGACATTCCCTGCATGCTTATTCCTTTTAAAAGGAAGAACAAGATTTTTTTAAAAATTAAAATCTTTGCGTGCAAAAGAGAGATGTATTTTAGTAACCGTGCCGTATGAATGTATGCCACCATGAAGAGTTTGGTTTTTTTTTTTTTGTTTGCTTTTTGAGACAGAGCTTTTCTGTAGTCCTGGATGTCCCAGAATTTACAGGATAGATCAGGCTGGCCTGGAACTCAGATATCCACACGCCTTTGCCTACTGAGTGCTGAGATTATAGGCATGGGGTACTATGCCCAGCTAACAAAAGGAGCTTAAGAATGTATCACGCTTTGTGACACCTGTGACTTGAGAGTGCAGCTAGAGTCCAGGGATGCTCTGGGCAGCAGGCTCCAAAGCCCCTGCTCTGCTTATCAGATGCCTAGTTTCCTTTAGTTCAGGAAGGAGCATCTTCTTATATCCTTATCTGCCATCCCCTTCTTCTAGCTAAAGCATGTTTCTTCTAGCAGCAAACCCAATCCAAAAATCATGCATTTAAAAAGCTCCTAATGGTTCTACATTGTTAGCGGACACTTGCTGTATGTAGTCTCACCATGAGTGTTTACTGAATTACTGAATGAATGAATGGTTTATATCATAGCCCTTCCCAACTGAACTTTAGAGCCTGAGTGCTTTTGCCTTGAGGATTCCCCTGGCTTGGGTAACAGCAGAAGCAGCCAGCCAGTGTAGGTTTGAATCATTAGGAAGTTTTGGAATGATCGGCTTCTTCCAGAAGCTTTATCTCTGCAGATGATTCTGAGTTTCACATCTCACAACTGCGCAGCAAGTAGCCGATCTGGGACTGGGGTAAGAATTAATCCTTTTTCTACTTCTTCACCCAGGGGACTCCTGTTTTTGCTTTATGACTCTGTTTAAGGGTCACCTCCTCCAGGAAGCATGCAGTCTCTCCTTAACCCTAGCAGCTTCTAAGTCCTCACCTTCCTAACACCTTAGTATGAACCGAAAAGCATCATGTCCCTGCAGGGCTGCATGCCACTCAGGAAGGTGAGCAGAGTAGATACTAATGTCCCAGCTGAGCCCATAGCAAAAAGTACAATAGGAAACCACTGACAGCCCAGTCTTCTCTAGACAGAACAGCTGCCTATGAACTAGATAGAAGTCTGACATGTCCTTGCCAACAGATGTGCCAAAGCAGAGCTTCTGCTTCTCAAAGAGAAGCCTGGGCTGGGAGATAGCACCAGGGTGGGGCACTTGCTGGGGTCTGTGAAGACCTAAGTTTACTCTTCAACATCTCCACCTCACCAAGAGAAAGAATGAGATGGGGGAAGAGGGTTCTTTAAAATGTAAATGTGTGTGGTAGCACTGGGGAGGCAAAGGAAGGCACTGCTGTTCAGTGGGTCAGTCAAAAACCTGCCAAGAGCGCCTTAAGGGAGGAAGGGCTGCTTTGGGGTTAAGTTTGAGAGGATACAGCCCATCACTGTGGGAACATCATTGCAGCCAGAGCATGAGGCAGTGGGTCCCATTGCCTCTGCCTCCAGGAAGCAGAGAGAGACAGCTCCTGGTGCCCAGCTCACCTACTCTTTTTTGCTCAGTCCAAGATGTCAGCCCATTCATTGGGTAGATGGTGCTGTCCACCGTCAGGGTTGATCTTCCCACCTCAGTTAACTCAGTCTAGAAACTACTTCATAGATTTTGCCAGAGGCCTGTCATCTAGATGTTTCTAGATCCTGTAGAGTTGACGCTGGATATTAACCATCACTCCTGACATGAAATGAGATATAACAATTCCCATCCTGATTTCAACTATGTTTAACTCAGGTTTTAAGGGAAGTCTTAGGCCAAGCAAGCAATTGTGGTTGGCCAGTAGATTGCAACCCTCGGGTTATAGTGGTCCCCTTAGGTTGACATAGCTTCTTCTAATGGGCCATGAATCTGTATCTCCAGATCCCTTCAGCCAGCAGCCCTCATTGTGGGCTGTTTCTACTTTCGTGGAAGTGGATTTGAATGCTACTTTGGCCCAGTGCCTCCTGACACTTTGTTTAGAGTTATTTGCCTGGAATGGAGCCACTCCTTCAGTTTCCTCCATGCTTCCAGGCCACACAGTGCCGGGGAAGCCACCATTTCCTACATTCTAGACAGCTTTGTTAATTTCTCTTTCCTCTCTGCCTCCTCAGTGCATGCTGATTCTGTTTCTGTTTTGTGAAGTATGGATCTCATGAGTTTCCCAATAGCTCCGTGACCTTTCCCTTGCTGGCTGGTTAGCCACTGAGGATTTCACCTGGGGACCAAAATGATTGTCACATTTCTCTTCACGGACGGGAAGAGATTACAGCAGGATTGCTTGCAGAAGCAAACCAACCTGATGTCCTGAGGAAAATAGCCATACGTCATTTTATGTGGGGTTTTATCATCTACCATTTTATGGAGCTTTTTATCATCTTCCTGTGAGTTGTGAGAGGAAATTCCATAGGGACACAGAGGGAGCTTGACATGGGCCTGGAGATATTCAAGATTGTCAGGGGGATAGTGAAGAGGAATCTGGACTGTTCCCGGAAGGATCCAGCCTTTGTCTTTGAGAAAAGTGGAGGGAGAGAAAGGGCAAAGAGGAGGATACTGTGTCATTAAGATAGTCACAAGCTGGGGGCTGCCGAGGTGGCTCAGCAGTTAAGAATGTTTGATGTTCTTACAGAATATCAAAGTTCGTCAGAAACACCCACATCTGGTAGCTTAAAAACTGCCAGGAACTCCAGCGTTAGGGGCATCCAACACCTTCTTCTGAGCTCTGTGGACATGGTATACATTCACACAGACACAGGTACACACAAATAAAAGTAAAATAAATCTTAATAAACATAATCACAATCTGCTGTTACTTAGTATTGCTAACAACTCTAATAAAATGGCATGCAGATGTTAACCTTGTTTGCTAATATTACTCTGTTCTCAAAAATGGTTGAGACCAGAGTCCTGGTGGTATGAGACTCAAATCCAAGCTATTTGGGAAGTGATGCAGGAAGAGTGTAAGATCAGCCTCAGCTACAGAGTAATCGCAAGGCCCTTTTAAGAATCATAGCAAAAGTCTATTTCCTGTTGCCCTACCATCTCCATTCACTTGCCCTCTCTTTTGTTCATTCTTTCTGTATAGTACAATTTAATGACACTGAGTATATTCCTTGCACAACCATCCCTACCAAATATTACTAGAGCCTTCTTCATTACCTCAAACTGAAAGTCTTTATCTATTAAGCACTTTTGCTTCCCCACCAGCCCTGGAAACTGCTATTCAACTTTGAGTCAATGACTCTGTCTACCCTCTTACATCATCTCTGTTCAATCAGTCAGCATTTGTCTCTGGCTGGCTTTGTTCATTTAGCACAGTATGCTCAGTGGTCTTACCTACTCGGTAGCATGTACCTCACATTGATTCTTTGTGGAGACTGCCCAAGTATTTTGTTGTGTGTATGTAGTATTAGTATGTGTGTATGAATAAACACTGGTTTATTCATCTACTGGCGTGTATTTGAGTTGCTGCCACCTTTCAAGTGTTGTGAATGATACTTCTTTGAACCTGAATGTGCACGCATTGCTATAATAGATATAATAGAATTTTATGCTCTAATATAGAATTTTAACTCTAGTATCATTTATTCATTTGTGGTTTTGAGGGAGGGTCTCACTATGTAACCCAGGGTAGTCTTTGATCTCCCTGGTCTTACTCTGGTTTTGATTTGTATGTCTCTAATGACTAGTGATGAATGTCTTTTTATATATCCGTTAGATACCTGAATATCTTCTGAGAAACTTTTGTTGCTTTTGTGGTTGTTGTGTTATAAAAGCTTTTTAGTGTCAATTCCTTTCCCAGATACATGATTCTTTTATCTATCTATCTATCTATCTATCTATCTATCTATCTATCTATCTATCTATCTATCTATC